TAAGATGATTCCGTAAGTCTTCAGTTTTTTTGAAAGACAAAGAAGATGTTTTTTATGTTCGTCTCTAGTTTTAGAGAAAACTAAAATATCATCTATGTAAACAACAACAAAATCTTTAAGATCATTAAAGATAGAATCCATCCATCGTTGATAGATTTGTGGTGCTGTGTTGAGACCAAAAGGCATAACGGTCCATTGATAGTGGCCGTGAGGGGTACTGAACGCCGTAAGGGGCTTTGACTTCTTTCTCAGTTTGATCTGCCAAAAGCCTGCTTTACAATCAAACTTCTAAAGATTTTAGCTCCACGGGTTTGATTGATCAGAACATCTTTGCGTGGGATAAAATAACCATCAAATATCAAATGCTCATTAAGCCATTTAAAGTTGATGACCATGCGGGCTTTACCGCGTTTGAGTTCACTATGGTTTCTAACCATAAATGCGGGGCTGCTATGTGGACTGCGTGTGTGTTCAATGAGTTTTTTCTCAAGGAGCTCTTGAAGTTGTGCGTCAAATTCATCAATGTCTCTTCGAAGGTAGATCATTGGTTTAACTCGAATAATAACATTCTGATTTTTGAGTTTCAGGCTGCAAAATCAAGGACTTCTTTTCCACAGGGTAAGTGGATTATCAGAAAAATTTTGGCGTAGAGATGCATATAACCAATGAGTATCAGCAAGGACTAGTAAGTCAGTATCTCATTTGGGTGGAGAGAACTTTTCATTACAAACAGAAGCTAAATTCTCTTGAATTGGGATTTCAACGACGGTTTGGTCTTTTAGAGTTAAAGAAATAGTTTTTTCTTTTAACTGCAAAGGAAGGTAACTATAGATAAAGTTACATCCTAGAATGAAATCACCATGCATATAGGGGAAGCAAAGAATTTTTGGGATAATGAACTTTTTATCATTAAGCCAGATAGCAACGTCTTTTGCTTTAAACTGAATAACATTCAGGGGAGCTTCAGCATCAATGCCTTGAACACCAATGGGGTGTTTCATTTGCTGCCATTTTTCTGAAGGTAGGGCATTAAATCGACAACAACTGGTGGTTACGCCTGTATCAATTAAAACACAAAGGCTATATGGTTTATATCCTTTGAAGTTGAAGATACCATTGACATACGTATACTTGCGCTTTTTGCCTTGAGAAGGAGCGAGTAAAATTTCATCATTTTATGATTTGAACCAGGCAAAAAGGGAGCATTGCCATTAGGGTCAACAGGAGCTTTGCCTTTTTCTGTCCAGGTAAATCGTCGTCGAGGAGGTACATCGACTGAAGTTCGTGGGGGAAGGATTCTTTCCCATCCAGGATTTCTCTTAGAAACTGAGTGTGGTAGCTGAGGTGGTTTTGCTTTGTTTGTAATATAGAGATTTGAGCCAGAGGCATGAATCGTGGCTACAGTTGGTTCTGTAATTCGTAACTTGGGTTCAGAATTGATATTATCAAATAACCAAGTTTTAGGAATTTCAAGATCAGTCCAATTGAGAAGTTTAGGCTCAATTATTGTGTCAAATGGCCTTGGTTCGAACAAAGTGACTAATTTAGAGTCAATGGTAGGAACAGTAGCAGTTTCGGGTTCTCGAGTGAGTTCATAAAGAACTTTCCACTGGATGCCAAGACTGGGGGAGTCATAATCCATTTGTAGTTTTGACAACTGAAGTCTGACTTGAAGAACTTTCTCAATGTTTGGATCAGAAAGTGAAACAAAATAATTTGGTTTGATTTTAAACCACATAAGATTATTGACCAGATTGGATTGAACACCTCCGATGAGAGCATCGACGGGTTTATGAAATCGATTGTCCATGATAAGGGCAATGAGAGGTTGATCAGTTCCGCGTCGAAATAGGGAAGTGATTTTAATTTGTACTAATCCGATATGAATATATCTGGCAAGAGGGTTTTGCTGTTTCCATCGTTCAATTTTTTCCTTGTTAAGGATATTGAATCCACAACGACCATTTGAGGTATAGTCAATGGTTGTATTTCCACTGAATTGTTCTAAAATTCTTTTGGAAAAGATGGCAAATCGAGAAGTCTTGTACACTTCGTCTTTCTTGATCCGTTGGAGTTTGTCAAACTGAATCAATTGTTCGTTTGTGAACTGAACTTCTTCTCCAATGATGTCGCTAAGCTTGATGTCAGTGTTTTCATCGGGTGTGGAAGGAGTAAGGTTCATCATGCAAATAGTGTCAATATCTGATTCTTCTTCGGTATCACTGGTAGTGGTACTGGAAGAGCTACTGGTATAAACGCTGCTTGAGAGTTCATACAGGATGGTAGTGAGGTCGGTGATGTCGCTACCATAGACAACACAGAGGTTATCTGTCTGTAGATGCTTAACCATTTTTGATGCCTTCTTGCCTTTTTGTGGACAGTTAATGGCATAATGACCAGCTTCATTGCAAATGTAACATTTACAATCCTTTTTTGTTTCAATAGATTTTGAAGTTTTGGAGGATTTTTTGGTTCCTGTTTTCTTCTTCCCTTTTTTAGTTTTTGGGGGAGGAGAAGCAGCTTGTGTAACATACTTCTTTGATGCTTTAGGGCGCTTGCCAGCTTTCCACTGTTTCTAACGAAAGTTTTTTCGTCGTGCGGGTTTAGAAGGAGTAGCTTTATAAGGAGCACATCCGATTTTCCTGGTTTCTTGGAGAATCTTATCGCAACAGCGCTGTCCTTCAGCCGTTCCATTGATCTGGTTTTTGACCTGTTTTTTGGCTTTTGTTTCTAGACATTTTTCGTTAATGAGACGATAAACAAAATTTGTTCGGAAACCAATGTTATCGATTTTCTGGATACGAACAAGGAAATCGGGATAGCCTTTAGCTGCAAGTTCATCCCATGGATTTGGAAGTTTGTGAAAGAATTGGGGTAACCAATGTTCGATAGCATTTGGTGGGAGTCTACGGAAGTATTTGGTAAATAGCTTGACGTAGTCTGGAAAACAGCAAATGTCGCATAATTCGATTTTCGAAAGAGCGCAGGTTGCATCATCAGTGAGGAGTTGTTCACCGGTATGTCCAACCAATTCTTCTTTAAGGATCTTGACAAAACCTCTTAATACACCGTCGATTTTATCGAAATTATTTAAGAGTGCATCCTTTTGTCATTGGCCTTGGGAAGTTTGATCCCATTGGCGAAGCCAATCGAGAGCATCACCTTGTAAGGTTGCTGAAATATAATCAAGGAAACGGTCGTGTTCCCAGGTTCCTTTATAGTTATTGACTAGAATAGCTAACGACTGTGCCCATTCATCGATAGTTTTCAAATGGTCTTTATACGGGACATTTGTGAGGTCCAGATAAGTTCCATGTTGCGAAATAGGAAACTTATTAAGATCATCTTTTCGTGTCCAGGTAGGAACCGTAGAAAAGTCGTATTTATACGAGGAGGTATAGACAGAAGGTTTTTTAGGTTCAGCTTTTGATTTTTCTTCGTCTGTCTTTTGGCCAGAGCCAGAGACTTCTTCTGCCGGGAGAAGGTCTTCGGTGGGAAAGTCGCCATAGAAAGATTCGTCTAGAATCGTATCAGATCGACGTTTTTTAGCTTTAGACTTTTTAGATCTAGTGCTAGGCTTTGGGTCTTCTTCGATAGGTGAATCAGAAGAGGAAGTTGGTATAGGATCTGCTTCAATGGTTTCATCAAGTTCTTCAGAGGAATCTGACTTCCCAGAAAAGGCGTATATTTGTTCGTTTTCTGATTTATTTTCTTCGTCAGAGTCACTGGAGCCGTCGCTTGGCATGTAGCCAAAGTGAGTCAGAAGATTCTCATTATGTAACGAGATCTGTCTCATACGAGTAATGATATGAGCGCTTTCATCAAAAGTGAGTTGTGGGTTAACATATAATGCTTGTAAACAATTGAGCTGATCTATGATGCTTTCATAATCATCTCGACGATATTTGGAAGAAGAGGTTTCAGAGAAAACTTTGATGTTTTCAACTTTGTCTTCATGTCCGTAAAAAAGAGGTTTGACCCTGTAGCGAGGAGGTTTTTCAGCAGAGGGGTATTCTGGTGGAAGGGACTCTTCTGATAGAAGGCAGAATCCTCTTTTGAAGGAGGATCTGGTGGCTCAGGTGGATATAAATCTGACATTTTAGCTTTTTGAAGTTTGGCTAAATCGATAGTCATTTGATTTATTTGACACTTCGTCTTTCTTGATCCGTTGGAGTTTTAGTGGAAATACAACCATCGACTATACCTCAAATGGTCGTTGTGGATTCAATATCCTTAACAAGGAAAAAATTGAACGATGGAAACAGCAAAACCCTCTTGCCAGATATATTCATATCGGATTAGTACAAATTAAAATCACTTCCCTATTTCGACGCGGAACTGATCAACCTCTCATTGCCCTTATCATGGACAATCGATTTCATAAACCCGTCGATGCTCTCATCGGAGGTGTTCAATCCAATCTGGTCAATAATCTTATGTGGTTTAAAATCAAACCAAATTATTTTGTTTCACTTTCTGATCCAAACATTGAGAAAGTTCTTCAAGTCAGACTTCAGTTGTCAAAACTACAAATGGATTATGACTCCTCCAGTCTTGGCATCCAGTGGAAAGTTCTTTATGAACTCACTCGAGAACCCGAAACTGCTACTGTTCCTACCATTGACTCTAAATTAGTCACTTTGTTCGAACCAAGGCCATTTGACACAATAATTGAGCCTAAACTTCTCAATTGGACTGATCTTGAAATTCCTAAAACTTGGTTATTTGATAATATCAATTCTGAACCCAAGTTACGAATTACAGAACCAACTGTAGCCACGATTCATGCCTCTGGCTCAAATCTCTATATTACAAACAAAGAAAAACCACCTCAGCTACCACGCTCAGTTTCTGAGAGAAATCCTGGATGGGAAAGAATCCTTCCCCCATGAACTTCAGTCGATGTACCTCCTCGACGACGATTTACCTGGATAGAAAAACGCAAAGCTCCTGTTGACCCTAATGGCAATGCTCCCTTTTTGCCTGGTTCAAATCATAAAATGAACTCAGCAAAATTCTTCCATTTTCGCACAGGAAATGATGAAATTTTACTCGCTCCTTCTCAAGGCAAAAAGCGCAAGTATACGTATGTCAACGGTATCTTCAACTTCAAAGGATATAAACCATATAGCCTTTGTGTTTTAATTGATACAGGCGCAACCACCAGTTGTTGTCGATTTAATGCCCTACCTTCAGAAAAATGGCAGCAAATGGAACACCCCATTGGTGTTCAAGGCATTGATGCTGAAGCTCCCCTGAATGTTATTCAGTTTAAAGCAAAAGACGTTGCTATCTGGCTTAATGATAAAAAGTTCATTATCCCAAAAATTCTTTGCTTCCCCTATATGCATGGTGATTTCATTCTAGGATGTAACTTTATCTATAGTTACCTTCCTTTGCAGTTAAAAGAAAAAACTATTTCTTTAACTCTAAAAGACCAAACCGTCGTTGAAATCCCAATTCAAGAGAATTTAGCTTCTGTTTGTAATGAAAAGTTCTATCCACCCAAACGAGATACTGACTTACTAGTCCTTGCTGATACTCATTGGTTATATGCATCTTTACGCCAAAATTTTTCCGATAATCCACTTACCCTGTGGAAAAGAAGTCCTCGATTTTGCAGCCTGAAACTCAAAAATCAGAATGTTATTATTCGAGTTAAACCAATGATATACCTTCGAAGAGACATTGATGAATTTGACGCACAACTTCAAGAGCTCCTTGAGAAAAAACTCATTGAACGCACACGCAGTCCACATAGCAGCCCCGCATTTATGGTTAGAAACCATAGTGAACTCAAACGCGGTAAAGCCCGTATGGTCATCAACTATAAATGGCTTAATGAGCATTTGATATTTGATGGTTATTTTATCCCACGCAAAGATGTTCTGATCAATCAAACCCGTGGAGCTAAAATCTTTAGTAAGTTTGATTGTAAAGCAGGCTTTTGGCAGATCAAACTGAGAAAGAAGTCAAAGCCCCTTACGGCGTTCAGTACCCCTCACGGCCACTATCAATGGACCGTTATGCCTTTTGGTCTCAACACAGCACCACAAATCTATCAACGATGGATGGATTCTATCTTTAATGATCTTAAAGATTTTGTTGTTGTTTACAAAGATGATATTTTAGTTTTCTCTAAAACTAGAGACGAACATAAAAAACATCTTCTTTGTCTTTCAAAAAAACTGAAGACTTACGGAATCATCTTATCTCCAACCAAGATAGATGTTGAAAAAGAATCTATTGATTTTCTGGGATTAGTTTTAACCCACAAAGGTATAAAACTACAGGATCATATAATTATTAAGATCCGTGATTTTCCTGACATTATTCAAGATAAAAAGCAACTTCAAAGCTTTTTGGGCATCTTGAATTATGAACGCGCTTTTATTAAAGGGTTAGCTCAAAAGGAACTTCCTTTATTAAAGAAGCTACAGAAAAATGTCACTTTTGAATGGACTGATAGTGATACCACCATTATCCAACAAATCAAAGTTGATTTAGTCCATATCCCTGAAGTATATTTTCCTCAAACAGGAGATAAACTTATTCTTGAAATAGATGCCTCCGAGCTCTGTTGGGGATGTGTTTTAAAAGCCATTCCTAAAGAAAAATGGATTGATGACACTTCGTCCTATCCCGTGATCCGAGCTCGTAAAGCTCCAATAACCAAACTCCTTCAAAGAGAAGAGTTAATTTGTGGATACAATTCTGGGAAATTTAAACCCAATGAACTGAATTATATCATTTATGAAAAAGAACTTCTGGCAATAAAATTAGCAATCAAAAGATTTCATATTTACTTAGCACCAGAAGATTTTATTATTCGTACTGATAACCAAGCAGTAAATGATTTTTTAATCAACAAAAAAAATTGCTTAGATGGAAGACGCTTAAAATGGTTTAATGTTATTGCTCAATATTCTTTTACTATTGAACATATCAAAGGAACTAACAACTTTCTTGCAGATTTCTTAAGCAGACCTCCAGAAATATCTAACCCCGATATTTTCTTTTCCCCTGCCTACAGATGGATGAAAACAATTTTTCACCAAAGGATAAAGATGGTTGGATCACTGTTGCTAAAAAAGCAATATCTAAACCAAGTCCATCACAACCACACAAATGGTTCGTGGTTTTTGCAGGTCACCAGCCTGGCATCTATGAAACCTGGAATGACTGTCACAAACAGCTTCGTTCATTTAATGGTTCTTGCTTTAAAGCTTATGACACGTTTATAGAAGCCCAAACAGTTTTCTATAATGTGTGACAAGCTTCTCAAAAAATGTTTGCCAAAAATCCGGATATTGCAGAAATTAACAATTTCTACGATCCTGGTCTTCTAAACTATCTTTATGATGAAATTAACAATGTTTGGAAAGCATATAAACTCGGTGCAAATAAGAAATTCAGACAACATCTGAGTTCTCTTATAGCCCTCATCGCTGAACAATCAGCCATGACGGATGAGCTTAAAAAGCTTTGCATCCAGATCTGTCTTACTATTGACTGGGAAAAAGATTTTTCTCTTTCAGAAATAAATTGTTTTCTAAAACTCGCCCAGTTGGTAGGAGAACAAGATTTTCCACAAAATACGTTTGCAAAAATCAATCGTATCTGTCTTCTTGAAAAAGCAAGAGACCTTTTTCCTCCAGATCTCTTTCGCATAATTTATCGAAAGGTTGAAGATCATTACGATATCATTCGATAGTATTATGAAACTCTACATGAAGATATCAATACCTTTGATATGCTTTATAATGGCAAACGAGTCCCTAAATTTCCTTTTTTTATCATTCCTGGCATAGACTAGTCCATGGAACCCATTGATTGGGGATTTGTAAACAAACTTACTTTTTCTTCTCATGATTCTTATCAAAACTTCCCTGCCATGATAAAATCCATGATTTACAAAGTAAGCAAGCGATGGAACTACAGCCGCCATCTTACCTTTTGGATTTCCAGTTCCATTGGTAGTCGAGAAAAAACTCGATTCTTTCAACCTTATCAAATATGGTATCTCAAACTCACAACACATGATGAGTACGAGCATAATCGCCTCCTAAATTCAGAAGAACTTGCTACCAGTATTGTTCCCTATTACTTCGAAATTCACAGTTTCTTACATCTACAAGACACTGCTAGACGATTTCTTGATGGTTCTTATTACAATCAAGAACCAGTATTTTATTGTTGTGACGGATGCAGACTCTTTGTCACTACAATCACTTGTTATTATGGTGATGATATGAATGGTGAACACCAGATTCAGACTGCTACAACATTTTTAAAAGAAATAGCTAGCATGACTACACTGGATATCCCCGCTCGTGTCAAAGACGGAGCTGAACGACTCAATCTTGAATGGGATATTGCCGATGCACAGTCTCCTGCCAGCACCCCTCCTCTTGATAAATATGAACTCCATAACATCATCAATGCAATGGAAGGATAAGGCGACACTCTTCTCTGCCCGACTGCAAATAATCCAGCACACGATAAGAAGACGTCGTCATGTCTACTTTTTCCAAAAGCAAAAGTAGCCGAAAGTTGCCAACAAGCTATTCATCAACAGTGAAAGTTGCCGACACTCACTTTTTCAAACAGTAAAAGAAAAGATTCGCTCTTATCTTCTCCGGAACTGTTTACCTTTTGTAATGTTATTTAAACCAAAGCCCCAGAATGGTTGAGGTATCTGTTTTTGTATCTGTGCTTGTAATATCTATCTATCAGTTTCCTCTTTGTAAATCTCCTTCTTGTGTAAACCTTCAGTTCTCGTGTAATTCCGCACATGTTGTTGTAATTGGTATCAGAGCCTACATCGAATCTGGACCACTGTAAGTTTTATGTACATTTGTAATATAGTTTTCAGTATCTAAGTTGTGCTCTATTACTGTTATAATTCTCATATGTTTGAATACTGTTGCAAGCCTATATTATCCTGTCTTTGCTTATATGTCAGTGTCTGTACGACTATTACGACAATCATTAAGCTGTCTACAGGAACTCTTGGTTTTAGGCACCAGAACAAATATCTAAACATTTGAGACTCCATAACTGTTTGTATGGCCCAACACTGCTCTATAAACTGTATCCGAAACCTTACCGGTCACGACGTCGATGCTTACCGACATATTTCCCATTTTACTACCACAGAACCTATTGCGTTTACCCAAATTGGTGCAGGAATAAACTTCCTTGTAGACATGGTTACTGACTGGAAAATCGATTTCCAACACAATCTAGAGGCAACCAACACTCATATGGCTTCCTCCTTTGAAGATGTCCAACAAGGAATGATCTCCTTGAATGACAAACTTGAAACTCTTACCCAGATTTTCACCCTTTCATCCTCACCAAATAATTCACTTCTTCAGGATCAAATAAATCAAATGACTATCGATTTAGCCAAACTTCAAAAAGCTAAAATGTCAGATTTATGTCCACCTGAGCCACCAGATCCTCCTTCAAAAAAGGATTCTGCCCTTCCATTAGAAGAGTCCCTTCCACCAGAATACCCCTCTGCTGAAAAACCTCCTCGCTACAGGGTCAAACCTCTTTTTTACGGACATGAAGACAAAGTTGAAAACATCAAAGTTTTCTCTGAAACCTCTTCTTCCAAATATCGTCGAGATGATTATGAAAGCATTATAGATCAGCTCAATTGTTTACAAGCATTATATGTTAACCCATAACTCACTTTTGAGGAAAGCGCTCATATCATTACTCGTATGAGACAGATCTCATTACATAATGAGAATCTTGTGACTCACTTTGGCTACACGCCAAGCGACGGCTCCAGTGACTCTGACGAAGAAAATACATCAGAAGACGAACAAATATACGCCTTTTTTGAGAAGTCAGATTCCTCTGAAGAACTTGATGAAACCATTGAAGCAGATCCTATACCAACTTCCTCTTCCGATTCACCTATCGAAGAAGACCCAAAGCCTAGCACTAGATCTAAAAAGTCTAAAGCTAAAAAACGTTGATCTGATACGATTCTAGACGAATCTTTCTATGGCGACTTTCCCACCGAAGACCTTCTCCCTGCAGAAGAAGTCTCTGGCTCTGGCCAAAAGACAGACGAAGAAAAATCAAAAGCTGAACCTAAAAAACTTTCTGTCTATACCTCCTCGTATAAATACGACTTTTCTACGGTTCCTACCTGGACACGAAAAGATGATCTTAATAAGTTTCCTATTTCGCAACATGGAACTTATCTGGACCTCACAAATGTCCCGTATAAAGACCATTTGAAAACTATCGATGAATGGGCACAGTCGTTAGCTATTCTAGTCAATAACTATAAAGGAACCTGGGAACGCGACCGTTTCCTTGATTATATTTCAGCAACCTTACAAGGTGATGCTCTCGATTGGCTTCGCCAATGGGATCAAACTTCCCAAGGCCAACGACAAAAGGATGCACTCTTAAATAATTTCGATAAAATCGACCGTGTATTAAGAGGTTTTGTCAAGATCCTTAAAGAAGAATTGGTTGGACATACCGGTGAACAACTCCTCACTGATGATGCAACCTGCGCTCTTTCGAAAATTGAATTATGCGACATTTGCCGTTTTCCAGACTACGTCATGCTATTTACCAAATACTTTCGTAGACTCCCACCAAATGCTATCGAACATTGGTTACCCCAATTCTTTCACAAACTTCCAAATCCATGGGATGAACTTGCAGCTAAAGGCTATCCCGATTTCCTTGTTCGTATCCAGAAAACCGATAACATTGGTTTCCGAACAAATTTCGTTTATCGTCTCATCAACGAAAAATTTCTAGAAACAAAAGCCAAAAAACAGGTCAAAAACCAGATCAATGGAACGGCTGAAGGACAACGCTGTTGCGACAAGATTCTCCAAGAAACCTGGAAAATCGGATGTGCTCCTTATAAAGCTACTCCTTCTAAACCCGCACGACGAAAAAACTTTCGTTGGAAACAGTGGAAAGCTGGCAAGCGCCCTAAAGCATCAAAGAAGTATGTTACACAAGCTGTTTCTCCTCCCCCAAAAACTAAAAAAGGGAAGAAGAAAAAAGGAACCAAAAAATCCTCCAAAACTTTAAAATCTATTGAAACAAAAAAGGATTGTAAATGTTACATTTGCAATGAAGCTGGTCATTATGCCACTAACTGTCCACAAAAAGGCAAGAAGGCATCAAAAATGGTTAAGCGTCTACAGACAGATAACCTCTGTGTTGTCTATGGTAGCGACATCACCGACCCCACTACCATCCTGTATGAACTCTCAAACAGCGTTTATACCAGTAGCTCTTCCAGTACCACTACCAGTGATACCGAAGAAGAATCAGATATTGACACTATCTGCATGATGAACCTTATTCCTTCCACACACGATGAAAACACTAACATCAAGCTTAGCGACATCATTGGAGAAGAAGTTCAGTTCACAAACGAACAATTGATTCAATTTGACAAACTCCAACGGATCAAGAAAGACGAAGTGTACAAGACTAAAACACATCCCCAACAGAGCTCGGAGGCATCTGTTTTAAGAATAAGTTTATCTCCTGTTTGAGGAAAATATACTTCATGGATATGGACTAAATCAGCTTTGATTTGTTGGATAATGGTGGTATCACTATCAGTCCATTCAAAAGTGACATTTTTCTGTTGCTTCTTTAATAAAGGAAGTTGCTTTTGAGCTAACCCTTTAATAAAAGCGCGTCCATAATTCAAGATGCCCAAAAAGCTTTGAAGTTGCTTTTTATCTTGAATAATGTCAGGAAAATCACGGATCTTAATAATTATATGATCCTGTAGTTTTATACCTTTGTGGGTTAAAACTAATCCCAGAAAATCAATAGATTCTTTGACTCTAAATTAGTCACTTTGTTCGAACCAAGGCCATTTGACACAATAATTGAGCCTAAACTTCTCAATTGGACTGATCTTGAAATTCCAGAAGAGTCCCTTCCACCAGAATACCCCTCTGCTGAAAAACCTCCTCGCTACAGGGTCAAACCTCTTTTTTACGGACATGAAGACAAAGTTGAAAACATCAAAGTTTTCTCTGAAACGTCTTCTTCCAAATATCGTCAAGATGATTATGAAAGCATCATAGATCAGCTCAATTGTTTACAAGCATTATATGTTAACCCACAACTCACTTTTGATGAAAGCGCTCATATCATTACTCGTATGAGACAGATCTCATTACATAATGAGAATCTTCTGACTCACTTTGGCTACACGCCAAGCGACGGCTCCAGTGACTCTGACGAAGAAAATACATC